CAAAATTGGGACTGTCCCTATAAAATTGGGACATCTGGTCACCCTACTCACATCTGTAAGTGGGTATAAATTGACTTAATATATGGGTCAAAGGTAGCCCTTGATGCACTGATGCTGTGGCACAGACAGTTCCCTGTGGTGCTGCTGTGTGGTGCACTGAGATCTCTTGAAGCCTTGATGTGTCAACACAGACAGTCAGTTCCCCAGCATCATGGCCCTGGCTGTCCTGTGCACCACGTAAGCATGTAATGGAGAGCCACGTGCCTCTGTGCTGCAGCACTGACACATAAAGGGCATCCCATAGTGCTGCTGCCTTCTGTGCTGAGGGGGTTAAGGCAGTAGTGGCAGAGGAAACCCTTCTAGCACCTAAATCTCAACAGAGGGGCACTGGATTCCCTTTTGCCCTAGAGCCCTGGTACTCCCCAGTCCAGCCATGGCTCCATGTCCACGGCACAAAACTCTCTTCTCTCCTATGGCACCTCACATCCCACCGATTCCTCCCCACCCGTTGCTGTCCCACATCACCGCTGCCCTCTACACCAGGAGTTCTCAACCTTTTTCTTTGCGAGGAACCGCCCCCCCCTCCCAACATGCTATAAAAACTCCATGGCCCACCTGTGCCCAATAACTGGTTTTCTGCATACAAAAGCCAGGGCTGGCATTAGGGGACAGCAAGCAGGGCAATTGCCTGGGGCCCCATGCCACAGGGCCACCCCACCGCAAAGTTGCATTGCTCAGGCTTTGGCTTCAGCCCCAGATGGTGGGGCTCAGGACCCTGGGCTTCAGTCCCATGTGGTGGGGCTTTGGCTTTCTGCCCTGGGCCCCAGCGAGTCTAACGCTGGCCCTACTTGGTGGACTCCCTGACACCTGCTTGCAGCCCATCAGGAGCTCCCGGACTGCTGGTTGAGAACCACTGGTCTCTCCCACCGACAAAAAAAAAAAAAAAAAAAAAAATTCCACCCCCAACGGGAGGCGGTAGTTTTATCCGTGGTTGAGCTCTCCTGCCGACAAAGCGCTGTTCACACCGGCACTTTTCGTCAGTAAAACTTTTGCATTCGGGGTGGTTTTCTGTTTTTTTTCACACCCCTGAATGACAAAAGTTTTACCCATGGAAGTCCAGTGTAGACAAAGCCTTAATTAACAGGTTAAATCACTTTTCCTTATCACTAGACTGAGGCAGTAAAATGAATCATGCCTGCAAATAGCATATGTAAAGAGAAAAAGCAATATCTGAATACCACCCTTTCCTCACCTTTGTTTAGACACTGAAGTGTAAATATGAGTTTAATCTGTCTTTTGAAAGATTTCTTAAAGTACCAACAAAACACCTTATGCTAAATATGTTACATAATAAGACTCACACAAAACAAGTGTCTCTTGAATGCTTTTCACATGGGATTAGTGTTATAGTTACCTTCATGGTGCTGGATCTTTTTGTCTTTGTTAGTTGTTCATAAATAAACATTTCCTTGATCATACATACACTTTACTTGTCTTGCAAAGATTTTTGTTGCCAAAATAAACGTGTCTATGTGGATTTCAAGGCCTCCTTCTTTTATTTTAATTTAATGTATTTATTTATATAGCATACTATATTAAGATCAATAAACTTGCTTCAGAACTCCTTGTGTAGATTTTGATCAAATCTTGGTTTAATTGGTTCTTGAAATTTAAATAACCAAGATATACATACATTTTTAAAAGAGCCATGTATGTGAATGAGAACAGCATGTTTCTCTGCATTCTGTTGATATGTGTTTAATTATAAATATGCAAAAGGCTTACAACCTTCTGGTTACCTACCAAACTTGGATTTATCAGTGTCCTGAGGCCTCCACTTTACTTAGTATGCTGACAAGACCTGAGCTTGAATAGTAAACCTTTAACAAGGGGAACTCTCCTTCCCATCTGTCCCCTCTAATTAATTTATTTTAACAAGGGAAATTGCTTTCCCACCAATTCCCCCTCAGTACAAGCTTTGATCAAAACACATAGACTATAATCAGTTCCAGTGCAGCATCAGGAATATGGAGAATGTGTGGACCTATCTATTTATAAGGATCATAGTTCTGCTGTTACTTGGCTGAACTCTAAAACATGCCCTGCTCCTCTAAAAAAACTTAATATTAGTGGAAAACTACCAGGATAAAAATATGTATTAAAATACCCTTCCTTATGTTCTTATAACACCTTGAGGATATTAGAAAGAATTTAAAAATAATGTAATTTACACTTTTTATAAACAGAACAGTAAATCCAGATAGGTCAAAAATACTTTGAGATGGTACAGTGCTCTCTGACTGAAGAAAACTGGGAAATATATACAAGAACAAAGCACCAACCCATTAAAACTAGGCTTGAATTCTAAACCTCTAACCCAGTCTGTGCATAACCTCATAACCCAGTTATGTTTGTGCAAGGTGTGTGTGCATAGTGGCTGTAAAACGCTGCTGCTGCTGATGTATGGAAGTGCAGAATTTGGATTTGGTACTGCTACGCCCACTCTGCTGAGCTATAAGTGACTACACTAGGCGCAATGCCTCTTATTTCAGAGCAAATCATGCCCCTGTCACTGCATCTACACAGAACCCTTAGTGTGGCTCTATTGTATGGGGAAGCAGAGCATAGCAGGCTGGGGACAAAGCTGCGGCTACACTGGCCAGTTATGTCAGACACCCTAGGTGTGTATGTGTTTGTAGCGAAGGGCACATAAATGTCTGTGTAGGCTGCTCCAGCTATTGGACTGCAGTGACCTCAGTGGGGTATATTAGGGAGAGAATTCTTTCCTCTGAGTATCAACCTAGCACTCAGGCCACCTGGGTGCTAATTTCTGAATTTACTGTTTACATTTAATTCACACTAGAGAATGAAATGAGACTGGTCAGATTCACTTTTGTTTCTCTTAATTCTCTATAGAGATGGGTCACAACCAGAACATTGGCGCCAAACTCCATAAGTCCTTAACAGCCAGCATGCACCTATCTCTATAATGGGTTAAACTGGAGAGCAGAATCCAAACAACCCTGACTTGTGAGAACATTTGAAGCTGGAGCCGGTTTTACATCTAAACTTGGTGACCTAGGTTGCACCTCCAGTTCTCATGAACTAGAACACTGTGATTTTTGGATTTCCAACACTAGTCAGGGGAACATTAAAAATGGGGGAGGAAATCTATTTTCAATTAATTTTTTTTAAAAGAATGTGTAAAATGGAAACATTTCTATTTGTATTTTATGTTGTATAACATCCCCATCACACACCACCATAAGAGCGCGCACACACGCGCGCGCGCACACACATAGAGACGCACCACTATTCTCACAATCACCACTTTATAGCAAAACTTAAATTTTGGCCCTAAACTGCATTACAGTGCCTCCTAATTTGAAAAATGGTGGGAAAAGGTAGAATGTTAATCCTTGTTTGTCTCAGTTTCAAACCCTTTACTGTATATTTCTATAGTTCGGGACAGATATATATATTCATAGATTAAAAAGCCAGAAGGGACCATTGTGATCACCTAGTCTGACCTCCTGTATAACACAAGCCATAGGAATTCCCTGAATTAATTCCTGTTTAAATTAGAGCATATCTTTTAGAACAAACATTCAACTTTGATTTTAAAATTGCCAGTGATGGATAATCCACCACAATCCTTGGTAAATAGTTCCAGTGGTTAATTACCCTCACTGTTAAAAATTTGCACCTAATTTCTAGTCTGAATTAGTGTAGCTTCAACTTCCAGGTATTGGATCTTGTTATATCCTTTGTCTGCTAGACTGAAGACCTTTCTATTATCAAATTTCTCTTCACCATGTAGGTACTTATAGACTGCAATCAGGTCACCCCTAACCATCTCTTTTTGTTTTTTTTATATATATATATATATAAAATGTGTGTGTGTGTGTATGTGTATATGTATGTATGTGTGTGTGTATATATATATATATATATACACACACACACACACATATTATATATATATATATATATATGATTATCAGCTTAGTTACTGAGTTTTAGTTCCAGGATGCAGATGTGGCAATCTATCTGGTATGTCATTCTATCTGAAAAACTGATAATGCGGTCCAAGAAAGGGAAATCCTTTAAAACATCCAAGTTATTTGGATAGTGATCAGTGTCTTACTACAGAATTTGCAGATAGAAACAAGGGAACCAAAGTTAATCTCCAGAGATGCTTACTCATTTTCTACAGTATTTGAAGATCAAAAGTACTGAGCGTCTGCTAATCCCCTTTAGCAAATATTAAGGTTTCCCAGGTGACTGGGTGAGAGAAAACTGGCTCCATAAATGACTAAATAAACACAACAGCTTCTTCAGCTGAGCAGCCTTTCTATGTGCTCTAGCACAGAGGTTTTCAACCTTTTTCTTTCTGAACCCCCCCCACCCCAACGTGCAATAAAAACTCTAGGGCCCACCAGTGCCATAGCAACTACTTTTCTGCATACAAAAGCCACAGCCAGCATTAAGGCAGTTGCCTGGAGCCCCATGCCACAGGGGCCCCCACAAAGGTACATTGTTCAGGCTTCAGCTTCAGTCGCAGGTGGTGGGGCTCAGAGTCCCAGGCTTCAGCCTCATGTGGTGAGGCTTCATCTTTCTGCCCTGGGCCCCAGTGAGTCTAATTCTGGCCCTGGTTGGCAGACCCTCTGAAACCTGTTCACGGCTGCCTGAGGGACCCCAGGTCCCTGGTTGGGAACCACTGCTATAGCATTTTGACATTCTAAGTTTACTAAGCTATAATTTATTTTTTCAGCCCAAGTCTGTCTTTCAGAAAACATTTTTCCTGTTTATTAGTTATCAGTTTTCCCTTCTTATTGACAAAGCCACCATTAACCTTTGCCTTTCTCTTGGTTTAGTAATACTTCTCTTTCAAACTCCAATGGTGGACCGCAGTGTGTCTTGCATCTTAATTCTTTATTCCTACAGCATGTAGTGTAAAAGAACTTTGGAAGCTCACTTTGTTTCTCTTTTTTTCAAAGGTTGTACCCTGCTGTTTTATGAGACTTATGGCAGGAATTCCATGGAACAGAGCAATTCACCAAGATATGCTCTGTTTGCAGAGGACAGCATAGTGCAGTCTGTCCCTGAACATCCCAAGAAGGAAAATGTGTTTTGCCTCAGCAATTCTTTTGGAGATGTGTATCTATTTCAGGTAATGATAATATTTTTAATTTGTCTGTATATAATTAGTAATGTGCTGTGTGCTGATTGACTGTTTGCTCCATAGTTCAGTGGTTTGAACAGTGGTCTGCTAAATCCAGGGTTGTGAGTTCAATCCTTGAGAGGGCCATTTTCGGGATCTGGGGCAAAAATTTGTCTGGGGATTGGTCCTGCTTTGAGCAGGGGGTTGGACTAGATGACCACCTGAGATCCCTTCCAACCCTGACATTCTATGAAACAATCCTCCCCCTCCTGCTCCTTTACAGTCTCTTCACCTTAGTTTCATTCCACAGCTATCCCTCTTACCCTCTCCTCCACTGCCCTGTCTGTCACTCTCTTTCCCTTCCCTTTTCTTTCCATTTATCTGATCCCCTCCCTTCTGCCCCCAGAAATTGTGGAACTAACATGCTGTTTGCTGCAATCACTTTGTTCACACTCCCTGTGTGTTCTACTCCTTTACCACCCTGTGTCGGTCCCATCTATTTAGATAGTAAGCCCTTCAGGGTAGGGACAGGACAGTCAGCTGCTCTGTATTTGTATAGTGCCTAGCACAATGGGGCCCCATTCTTGGTTGGCCCTTGTAATAAACATGATTAATAGCAGTAAGCTATCTATCTGTGCTAATGTGTGTGTTATCTACATCTGTTTGTTTTTAAGACAAATCTTAGTCTGTACCTCAGACTTTCACTCAATCCTATCTTCAAGCAAAACTTTCATTGACGTGAATGGGGATTTTTGCCAGAGGGAGGACTGAGTGAAAACCAAGGCCATGTTCTCTACTCCATTAACGCTGTTTTTTGCTGGTTGGGGAAGGGAAAGGTAAGGGGTACGTAAGAAGAGGTGGGAACAGGGAGTGTAACCCAGATGAGAAGCAGAGGAGAGGATCAGAGTCAGTCAAGAGAGACAGAAACGATGAGAATTAGACAGCCAAATGTCATGTGAGCGTAAGGTGAGCAGTGTACTGTGTAACAGTAGAACAATGATGTTCAGATAGAGGACAAAAGAGATTGAGAAATGTCTGGTCCTGACAAGGAGGAGGGCTGCAGGCATGAAATTAAAACAATACTTAACTGTGATAACTGTTGCTGCTGTCATGATTTTAGAGCTTCTCCAGATCTGTCACTGGTCCATTCAGGTGCATGATACTTCATCAGTGAACTCAGCCAGCCAGAGCTACAGAAATAATGGAGGGGCTGGAATGGATGGGGTTAAAATAAGCAGAGTGTAACTTATGTTGTAAGGCATCTATTAGCACTCCACAGTTCTATACGGATGGACCCACCCCTGACTCCATTAGCCTCAAAGGGAATTTTGCTTCCGCTAAACATTGACGTTTGGAACCCAAAAAAGTAGTTAATAATCTAAGGAAACTAACCACTTGTCTATATTATTGGAGAGGTTCATAACGTCGAGCCATCCTCCTAACGAAAAATACATTGCTGCAAAGCTGTATTTTTTTTAATTGATGTTTGCAGACACTTCATAAAAACGCATCCTCCCTTGTCCTTCTGTGCTCCCTCCACTAATTTGTGCTTGTTTAACTATGCAGACCCCTATCCTCGGAAATCAGTTTTGTGGCCACCATCCCTGTGACCAAATCAGATTGGAGGAAACTTACCTTCATAGCCTGTCAGTTTTACTTCTTAACTGGCTGGAGGGTTGAACTTCACCTCCACAACTCTCAGAAATGCTCTTGTGCTTGCTGATTCTACGGCACTCATAGGCCTGGCAGGACTCACAAGTGAAAGGTTGGGTGTAGCAATCATGGGGTACATCTACATTGCAATAAAAAACCCATCACATTGAGTCTCAGAGCCTGGGTCAGTTGACTCGGGCTTGCAGGGCTCAGGCTGCGGGGCTAAAAACTGCAAAGTAGACGTTAGGGCTCAGACTGGAGCTCAGGTTCTGGGACCTTCCTACCTCACGGGGTCATGGAGCCTGGGCTCCACACTGAACCTGAACATCTACACTGAAATTTTATAGTCCCACGGCCCAAGTCAGCTGACCTGGGCCAGCCACAGCCATGCCTGGGTTTTTTCATATCACAGTGTAGACATACCCCATGAGACAATGGAGAAAAGGCTAGCAGCAACCTACTTAACATAACTCTACACACATGCATAATTTAAAGTATCAAGCTCTTAAAAATCAAAGCACCTGACAAAAACTTTTTAGTATCACCTAAGTCCTCTTTGATTATAATGTTGCTTTCTTGCTCTGTTATGTAGGCAACAAGCCAGACGGACCTGGAAAACTGGATTACAGCAATACACTCGGCTTGTGCTTCCCTCTTTGCAAAGAAACTTGGGAAAGAGGACACTGTCAGGCTTTTGAAAAACCAGACCAAGAGCCTTATCCAGAAGATTGACATGGATAGCAAGATGAAAAAGATGGCAGAATTACAGCTCTCAATTGTCAGCGATCCAAAAAACAGGAAGGCCATAGAGAATCAGGTATTACTAATAATGTATTAATTTCTACTACTGAGTTTTGTTACACAGGCTCGACTACAAAGGCTCACCTGCTCTGGGCTCAGATTTTGTTAATGTTCCCCAGGCTTGGAGAACAAGTGTCCCTATGGATTCACACTTCAAAACAGGGAAATCACTGGCAGCTGTACAATGCCATACAAAAGACCTAGCCCGTGGTTATAGACGCTAACTACTACAACTTTGCCTGTAAGGACGACTAATCAGGTTTCCACATATGGAAATGGATATTTCTGTAGCATGCTGCAAAAGTCAAACAAGGTCTATGTTATACTTGTGTTGGGTGAATTGCCAGACATTCCCGTCTTCTGCTCTTGTTGCTTATAGTTTATTAACTGCTCATTTAAGAATTAAGAATGAAACAGCATTAACATATGGAACAAAACCAGGAGACAGTTGTGGAATCTGAATTCTTAATGTTTAGGGCGAAATCCTCCAGTCTCTTTACACAAGACTTCCAAGGCTAGCTACACAAAAGGACTTAAGCACCTAACTGTCACTTTAGGAACCTCAATCTACCCCCCCGAACTCTGTAGGCACCTAAAGTTGCTCGGTGCCCAATACTAATGTTGGCAGTAAAAGTTCCTGATCTGCCTATGTTTCTGCCTCTCAGCCTATGCACAGCAGCCCCATGCCAGGTGTCTGGATGCCTAAGCCCCAAAGCAATGCACAAACCAGGGGAAGATAGGCATTTCTCTGCCTAACTTGCCTGTGGGGCCTGATCCAGTAAGCATGTTCAGACTTTGCCTACCCTATTGGACCCCTATAGCCATGCTTACACAAAACGCTGGGTGTGCGGGAGGAGGACCTTCCTCATAACTTTTAGCTTAGTGGCTAAGTTTCTCACCTCAGGCGTAGGAGGCTCCTGGTCCAGAATTTTGCAAAACAAATCAAAAGTGTGGATCCCAGTGACTTTTTTTCCCCCCCTAAAAGTTAAGGGTGGCAACGCTCAGCATCACCACACCTAGATTCCTTTGTGAATCTAGCGCCTAGTGCCAGTTCTGCCTGGGTAAAGACTGAGGATCCAAAGCCAATGAAGTGAATAAAAAAACTTCCTTTGATTGAAGTGGGGTTTGGGTCAGGCCCTCAGTCTTGTGACCTAAACTCAGATATGAAGCCATGATTTCCAGAGGGGAGAATCAATTGTACTATACTACTTTACTTCTATTATTGAATTGCAGGTTATAATGCAGGTAAATATTTACTTATTTACCCATCCATTTAAAGGAACAGACTTTAACAGTTTAGTGTGATTCATGGATACAGCCTTAATGAGGGCATATTTAATTTCTCCTAATTACATAGTCCAAGGCTTGAATATCTCCATTGTTCCCCAGTCTGGTTCACTGAAAAAATGGGCTGTAGTCTTTTGCAATTAAAATCCATCACTGGCACTGCAGAAGATTAATTCCCGTTAAACGTCTGTTTAAGAATTTCTCGCAAGGTCAGGTGAATGACGCAAAGAGTGAGTTGGATCATTCACAAACAGCGCGCAGTTTGCGCACGATGAATTCATAATGAGACTTTTCTCTGGCTTTTATCTCACTGATTGCTATATGATCTCTTATTGCAACTGCTAAATGTTTGTTGGCCATGTCACATGGGTGAGAAGGCAATAGATAACCTTGCTTTCTAAACTCTTAATTCAGAAGTCACAGCATAGGACGCATTAAAAAGACCTTAAAATATAATTTTAAAATTAATGATTTTGAAATCACATTCCTATGCTTTAATTCTGTGTAGTTTAGTTTGTTTTTACCCAGTTTCGTGAACTGTGGCGCTATAGATTATGGGGCAATTCTTTAGTCTGACACATGGGAATTTGATCGTATAGCTTCAGTCTATATAAATGGGAGTCATGTGTATTTATCACTGTGCCTCTCCCTCAGTTTTCCTATGTATCTAATATATAACAACGTAGGCTGGTGCTCTATTTATTAATAATGATTTTAGTTACTCTTCCGTAGAACTTCATGTGTGAAATCTTGACCCCAGTGATGTCCATGGGATTTTGTTATTGACGTCATTGGACTAAGATTTCACACTAAGTGGTTAAATTTAGGGCCCAGTCCTGCACTTTGTAAAATCTCTGGGATTAGTACCATCCAAGGGAAAATTCTACTATAGGAACCTACAACTCCCCAAGACTTATAGCTTCTATCTTCCTCAACATCTGTGTTGTTAAAAAGCAAGATACTGAATGCATCTGAGGGGAGTTTAGGCAGTGGGAGATATCTACATCCCTGCAGCATGTGGTTCTTGTCACACCATTCACCAGCCTCTGAAAAGGGGTTACAGTACGGGAATCTGTACATGTGAATTTTTAAGTATGTGTACATACTGTATTTAAATGTGTGTACATATGTTTTTTAACTTTCAGGTATTTAGGAGTTTGGGGAGTTTAATAGTATTAGGTTTGAAATTTGGTGGGTTTGATTGCTAGCATTTGATAAAGAATGATTGCATTTCTAACATTTGGCAATCCAAAGAATTGTAAAGCTTAAAATAATAGTTGCCCCCTCCCCCAAAAAAAACCACCAAGAAGAAGGTGTTGTTTTTATAACTCTCTGCCTCGGGGCTTGTTGATATTTCGGCTGCCAGACAGGTAGCCAAAGTATCTCCTAGATCAGGGACTGCCTCCATCAGTAGATGTAGTGTTTTTAGAGCCATATGGGACCCCAGTCCAGTAATAGCAGACTTAGAGCCCTCTTACAAAGAATGGTGACCCACTGCATAGGCTTTAAAAGAATTAAATCCATTGTATGGGGGAAACCCACAAAGAGTCTGCTGTAACTACAGATACAAAGGTCTTGGGAGGGGCCATATCTAATGGATTAGCTGTGAGTCTGAAATCTGTTTATGCCATCTCATGGATCTGGGAGCTCGCGGATCTGGGAGCTGTGATATATTTGTCTTTGTCTACGTATATCATAAATACTTTATGGGTGGGATTTTCAAAAGCACTCCACCTTGGACTAACTCTTTTCCCATTGGAGTCAATAGTAAAACTCCCACTGAGTTACATGGGAAGGGAGATAGGACAAAGTAGAGTGCTTCTGAAAATCCCATACTAAACATCTCAGTTCATACCCTTCTCAGAACTAACAGCACTAGTACAGTTACTTTTGTCCTGGAGCTGCAGTAGCATTTTGCCACCAAACATTGTAAGTGCACATTTTTTGTACATGAGGGTCTGTACATGAAGTGGGTGCATATACACTTATCTTCAGGCACAGCTTAGGCACCCACATTTAACCACGTTGGCTCACTTAATTGTTAAACATGTGTACGGTTGTGTAGTAGGTAAATAAATCATAATATATGCTACAATCATGGGGCCCAGTTTAACTATCGTTAAAGGCAATGAAAACACTCCCTTTGACTTCAGTGGAAGTGGGGTCAGGTGCATGTCCAGGAGATCTTTAAATAGAATTATTTTGAAAAGAATATTGCAAAATAAATCAAAAGTAGGGGCCTGCATCTGTGCACATGGGGAACGTCTATCAGCTGTTTCCCTCCCTGTTCCTCTTCGTTTTGTTATGAATTTCTTTTAAAAGAAAGAATCGTATGGAATAACTTCGAGTAATATCGGCTTGAATGCATTCTGGGTTTCTTTCTGCAGGTTCTAAAATGGCAGCATAGTCATGTTTTTTGAATAATTTTGACGTAGCTGACATGATTCACATTTGCTGTGGACAGTATACTTAACTCACTTGTCAGATGGTTGTGAGGAGAGGTATTTTCTTTTTATTAGCAGGCACTAAAACAATGAAACATTGATGGGAAAAGCAGACACGTGCTTGGAATTACTTTCATGGGAGTTTTCCTAGGTTTCCTTTAGCTAAGTGTATTTTGTCTGTCACCATAAAAGCCAAAATAGCAAGATCAATAGGACTGCATTCTGCTCACCGACAGTCATCTTGAAATGTACTGTACTAGTTCCCCTTCGCCTGCCTCTACTGTCCTCTCTCTCATTGCCACTTAGAGGGCAATGCATTACATGGTTTGTTTAACATTTAACAGATTATTTTTCTGTTTAACATGTAATAGATTTCTCCTTCAGTAACAAACATTTATAAGATCATGACTTTAGTTTCAAGCTATTTTATTGTGCAAACTGAACTCCCAAGCTCCAACTTTTCATAATTTGTTTTAAAGAATGAAATTTAATACTGTTAGATAATAACATACATGAGTAAAAAGTCACAGTACCCATTCTCCAAGGAAATCTTTTCAAAAGCACTTTGCTGGATCCTTGCTGTTTTTGCTGCAAGAGAAATACAGCTTTAGTTGCAATCGATCCAGTTACGTTTTTTAAAATTGGCGCACTCGGGGACTAACAATTGATATCTAGATTTATTGGGCCAGAGCATCAGGTGGTGTAAATCACTGTCACTTCATTGAGTACAATAGACCTACACTGATTTGCACCAGCTGAGGTTCTAGCCCATTATTTTTTACTGTGTAAAATTGTCCTTCTCTCCATCCTCAGTAAAATGCTTCCATTTTAGTGATAGCTCACCACTATGGAAAGAAGTAAATAGGCAGGGAGAGAAGTTAGGGAAATGTTGCTCTGATCGTCACACTGGTGCATTTGCCATTTTGCGGATCCTGAATCAAGAAAGGAAATCAACCAAGGTTTTGAATAAAATATTTTCTTTAAACTTAAGATGTAGAGCATCTCTGCATTTGGAGAAACCGTGTTGGAGGCTGGAGATTATGGGCTGCGGGCTAATTCTTCTTTGCAGAAGGCAAGTTGCCTAATAAGTTTGGGCCCCAATTCAGCAAGTTTCTTAAGCATATGCCTAACTTTAAGCATGTGAATAGTCCAATGGGGCTACTCACTTGCCTGAAGTTAAGCACATGCCTAGTTCCTTACAGAATCAGGGCCTTGACGCTGGTGCTATGACCCTGAAATGATGACTCCTTTCCATACTGTGGTCAATATGGTAAATATTCCGTAC